AAATAAAATTAAAAGAATAATAATAACAAAATTAAATAAATAAATATAGTAAAGTTTAAAAAACAAATCTTTAAAAAAACCAACAACCCCAACATAACCCCAGAGTGTTTCGCAAAAAATTACAGACTGTTTCATAATCCATGCAAGGTCTTATTGCTAAACATTCGCGGTGGTTTTTCTGACATCCTGTTCTGTGCACTACGTCCACAGCATTTTTACGTCACAATAATTGCAAAAGCTTAAAGGACAGATTATGGCGGTCAAATGGCGTCTTTGGTGGCCGCAATTTTCTCCTATCCATCTTTTAATTCACATTTAGCGTCATATCTTTCCTGGATGGATGAATGACCATAACTTCGAGGTATGGTAACGGTTTAAACCCTCACTTACTTTACTTATACTTTTCCTTCCAAGCGTCTGTCGGGGGGAGTGTTTAGGCGTAAAATACTTACTGCCACTTCTTATGTAGTAGATAGCTAAACGTTTTAACGGAAAAGAATAGTTACATATTCACATTCCATAACGATATCACGATGAGTAAAGCATAATAATCTGGAAAAATATGTCTCTTTTCCCAGGTTACGCCAGAAACCACTGGGGTCAGGAGCCAAAGACATCCTTCTTGAACACGATCAAGCCAACACCAAATTGGTATGAATGTGGAGTGTCCATACCATAGGCTTGATGACGGGTACAGCAAGGGTGTACCTCTCCGCCCTTTTCGAGTTAAGAGTTACACGCAGCATAGACAGAGTTAGGAGACCTGAGAGCGACCTGCTGGATCACCACGGACTTCGATATTTCAACAGAAGAACAACACCGACATTTTTAATGAACTAGAGCAGATACACAAAATCAACCTCTTCTCGGCAGATTGAAGGGTTAAAACACCATAGAAAAGAAAAGGTTGTAATTTTCGCTCTCAAGGCGGCTCTTCACCATGTCACGAGAAACAAAAAATACGAGTTTGAAACCTTTAACAATAACAGCTGGTGTTCAAGGCACATTACTATAACCCCTCATCCTTTTCACTACAGCTTGAGTGTAGCAGTGACACTTCCACCGGAGCTTGTGCATGGAATGCTGAAATCTAACAACACCGGAGAAATCTTCAACGTGCAATAAAAAAAACAACCAAACGCTATTTTAAAACTAACTAAAGAGCAAATCCAGCAGGGCAATATGTTGCTTTGGTGGATACTGTCACGTTACAGTTTACATACAGAATGTCTGACGTCGTTTTCTCATATCACCAGAAGGAAACAATTGGAATCGTCAGATCCTTATGTGAGAATACGGCGGAGTGACTTTTGTATCCCAGGAAATCTGGTTGAAGTTACAATGGGCATTAACGTGCAATCTGGTGAGTTTGAAAGCGGTGCTTTTTTTTCAAAGGACAAGATGTAGTTTCTGATGTCTTTCTATATTTTATGTTTAAAATTGATGTTTTGTCTTTATTTTACGGTACTCTGAATGACATGTTACGTATATTGTATTATAATATTCTATTATGTTCATACGTTTCTTAAAGCATCACTTTAAAGCATCATGATGACCAGGAAACATCAATGCACACATACGCATACGAAAATAAAACACGCACCAGATACCCACACACCAACACACACATATATATTTAACATATCTTTTACAACATATACATGTTCCTGTAAAGCAAAATAGTACTGATAAATAATGAACCTCAAAATGTATACCCGGAAGTCACAGTTTCAATCTGAATTCAGGTAACACCCCGACACACAAACACACCTTTACAACAGTAGCTATACAGAAAGACTGGACAGACGGGGAGGGAGGACATAAAATACATAAGATGACACTCTCTAAAACGGACTGCAAAAAATAATCAAATACAGACCACACATTTCTGAAGATATTTCTGAATGCATTTGAATACCATTACATCTAGTTGATGCATGAGGATTTATTATTTGAAACAGCATTGTACAGAAAAACACGATTCACATAAAACTTCCCTGTATTGTAGATATTCCATGCCTCCATCGACACAAATTAGATCGCACAACAGGCCAACTATCTCAGTTCAACCTACCAAAGCCAATTCGTTCTGTATGGGAGGCATCCCAGCAAAGGTGGCGAAACTAGCTAAAATATTTTCCTCGTGCTGGGACCGAATCCATTTCCTATGTATTCAAAGCGAACAGCCAGACAGACCATCACACCATAGACGCCGGGTTCTATTTCCCGATAGTCGCTTCATCTTTTTGACGTTAAAAGGCATCGATAGTCTTTGTACCCTTGGTACTTTGTAAAACAAAAATTGCATCTTGCACTCCCATCCCCTCCACCAAACACACACACACACACACACA